ATCACCGTTCTGCTGTGTCATCTTCAAAGGTACGCGATTGTAGGGTTCACATTTCAGAATAAAAATGGAGATTCTCACGTAATCGATAATGTTTTAACTCTGAAATTATACTTTCAACGGTGGACCGCTGACACGAGACACTGTCACGCGATACCGCAGTTCAGCACACACGCTTTGCAATCACAACAATCGAAGGGGCTTCGTTACTTTTAACGTGTCAGCCGATACCGGGGAAAGAGATTGTTTAATATTTAATCGACGCGAAGTACGGAAATCGAGTGGCGATTGCGGCTTCGTTAACCACTCGAGCGCAAAATATGATTGCGATCCGCAAAGAGAGACGCGGTGAAGCGCACGTGTCAGCTCGTCGTTGTTAATTTGTTTTTATACAAGCAGCAGCAACTTCCGAAAAATGAAAGCTTTCCTGTATGTAGAGAGAAACAAAAAAAAAAATCGATGTTCGAGCGTAGTAAAACGATCCTGCTATTTTACACCTTTGCGGAAGAAGAATTTCATTCTACAGCAAAGCGCACGCAGATACATTTTTCCAGCCCTTGTCGATTTCAAGATTCACGCACACAACTCCGAGGTTAACGTCGTTCGATAGGAATAATATCACAGTCACAATCTGCATGTTCCCTTACTGGTTGCGTACACGACGTTGAATCCGATTTTTCGTGGCATGTCGAAGTGCGGTCTCTTTTTCCTGGTGGGGCGAGAAATCACGTACCGGAGCAATAAGTGTGTCCGAACGAAGACTGTGTAAAAAAAAAAAACGTGTACAACGGGAGAAAGGGGAAAACGAAGAGAAAACGTCAAAATCTAAAAGGCACAGCCATCTGAAAGCTCGACAAGGGGGAGCTTGCAAGTTTCACCCCGGCGCGTAGGCAACGCCACTTGCACGTCTGGCCGCGGCGAAGCTTGCGACAGAACTGACTAACTGCACCCGTTCTGCAAACGGAAACTCTGATCTCCAGACCTCGAGCATTTTCGCTTGCCAGAAGAGCTCTACTCTCTCGTATTTTCAAGCCTTTTTATCGGCGAACAAAAAAACCGATGATCGATCGATAGAGTACAACGATACGGTAGCTTTTTTTCCTATCGAACAACTGGTACCTTTTCTCAAATACCCGAATGGTCGATGGGACAATTTTCGTCGATAATATTACGTTCGTAGATGGATGATAAATTACGAGAGAGTCATTTTTAGAATGGTATTCGTTGAATGTGTGGCATTATGTAAGTCGCATCGATAGGATGGAATTTCTTTCTTTTCCTTTTTTCGTGTACATCTTGGCTAGTTTCCGTACATGGCACATTGTGGCACCGTCTTGCATTCTGCCCAAGTCGAACTATAGACTGTAATTTCGTAATGGATCAATAAACGGAGGCTGCGTGACGTCAGAGGGTGCGGCGAGGGTGGAATCGCTCGGTAGAATCGTTATATGTGTTTCGTGTCTCTCATTCACGGCCACGTGTGCGTGCACGTGCTCGTTCATTTTTAAAACGAGCATTCGCAATTTATTAATACGTGCAATTAGACGAATTGCTTCGAACAGGCTGCGCAATCAACGTGGTGCTAAATTGAAACGACATTTGGTGACGTGTGAATGAAGTATTTATTTAAAAAGCGTATAGTAATATACAGTTCGTTAATCGTATTTTCATACGTATATATCGTTTTATTATAATACAAGGAATGTTTATTGCAGTTCTTTATTGTACATTAAATTAAGTGGTGGCGAAAAGATACAGAAGACCTTTTGCAAACTGGAAAATTTCCGACCCACCCAGCTTCGACTCGCCGTAAACGCGATCGACAAACGTGATGGGAACTTCTCCTATGGTGTATTGCAATTGCCTGGCCCTGATAATCATCTCCATCTGGAAGACATACCCCTTTGATACACAAGAGTGAATGAGATTTTCTAGTACATCTTTCTTGTACAATCTGCAATTTAACAATGTAAGATTTACAGTCTGTTTCAGTGTCTACATTGAATAATGCATTGGGTATCCACCTAAAGCTTCCTGTAAGATCACTGGCACCTGGTCTCAATAAAATTTGTGTGAGGAAATTTGCAGTTCTGCTGATCAATTTCCTTTTGAAATCCCAGCCATAAACTCCTCCACCTTTTATATACCTAGTACCACTTACAATATCCAAATCAAGGTATCTCTGATGTTCTACCATTTTGGGTATGAATTTAGGCTAAAAAATGAAGAACTGGCATCAAGTTTGACAGCATACATGGAACAGCTGTTTGAAAAGGAGGATACTTACATGATGAGATAAATCTGCATCCATGATGATAATAAAGTTTCCATTAGCATGTTTAATTCCATGAATATATGCTGTGCCCAGTCCAAGCTTCTTTTCCCTTGGTCTCAAAACTATTTTGTACTCTCCATAGACATTCTGCAGCTGTTTAGCCATGTCCAGTGTCCCATCTGGAGAACCATCGTCTATCACGATAATCTCATAATCAAGTTCGCTAGAATATTTGATAATTTCTCAACTGCACAGTACAGGGGCTTCATTCATACTTTGAGGTTATGTTGCCATTCTAGTTACCTCTCGTCCATATACTTCACGATAAGCCAAATAATTATGGGCAAGTTCTCGACTTCGTTGTAGGTTGGAAGTAAAATCGAGTACTTGTCATTCTTTGCCAGTTCTTTTATATCCTTTTTCGTTTGTTCCCTCTCGACCATTTTTCACACCAGTTCCCGGTACAGAGACGCGTCGCAGACGAACTCTTCCTTACCCAGCGTCGCACTGTCAAAACCAGAAGGGCAAACCATGCGGCTTCGTAAAACTTGTCAATAAAGCAGTCATCCTTCGATGACGTGTCTCGCCAACGGTTCTTTACGTCACTACGAAGCGGTGTATTCAAGTTTCATTCATCGCGTACCTAGTTTTGCGTGATCCATTCAAATATTCAAAACTATCGAAAACATGGAGTCTCGAGTATCGGTAGAGAAGAACAAGTACCAATAAAAATCGAACATAAATTATTCTTTTTACATATACAAAATTACATCCCAACCTTTATTCCAAATTTTTCTCCTCCATCTTCTTTTTACGAAAAAAAATTTTTTCGAAACTTTCTCTCGACTTCTACGGTAAAACAGTAACGTAACGTTTCCCTCGTGACTGAAAGCGAAGCGCGGAAAGGAAAGTCGCGCGAAATATGACGCAGGTTAATTAATCAGCGTAATTTCCTGTGTGCCGAAAAAGGAAAAGAGCACGGAGGAAGTGAAATTCGGCGACGTGATGGCGCATAAACAGCAAACGATTACAATTAGCGGAGACGCGATGCGATAGTAACGTATTAACCACGGCGGACGTTTCCGTCGCGCGCGACAAAGGTCGACCAACCGGCGTCCCCACCACAATGAGAGAGGCAAGAGCGAACCACGACGGCGACGACCCCCCACCGTCGACCTCGAGATCCCGTGGAGCAGCCGCTGTCCCGAAGCAAACGACGCTCCTCGCCGCACTCTTCGGTCGTCTACGGACCTAGAGTGTTCGCTTCTGTTCGCCGGAACCGGTGTGGTCAGCGTGTGTCTCTCTCTCTGCGATTTAATCGACGTGTCGTCGGTACGTAGTAGGACCCGGTGAGAAAGCAGTGTGTGCCTGTGTGTGTGTGTTGCATTTTGCATCACGTGTGAGTCACGCTCTTCGACGTGTCGTCGGTACGTAGTAGGACCCGGTGAGAAAGCAGTGTGTGCCTGTGTGTGTGTGTGTTGCATTTTGCATCACGTGTGAGTCACGCTCCAAGGGTTTCGCCTACTCACCAAACTCGCCTAATCGCCTAATCGTCGTGTTTTCTCGAGGGGTCGGATTCGATAAAAAAAAAAAAAATTCGCGTAATCGGTTCTATTCGAAGATTTGCGAAATCACTCGTGGGTGTGTACGTGTGTGTGCATGTGCTCTTTGTGGCCGCGAAGTGTGATTACCGCGGGTTTATTGTTCGAACCCGTTCTCTTGTTCCGAATGATCGCAACAGTTAGCCAGACGTGAATTGGAAGTTTGGTCGAACAGTCTGGGGAACTGTCAGCGTAGGGGTTTGGTCAAGACACGACAGTGGTCGATTGTCCCATTCAAAATTCTATTACACAAAGTATCCTCGAATAACGCCTGCGGAAGAGACAGCACGCGTTCACCTCGAAACCAGGTGTGCTCGATGCCACGGGCGAAAAGATTCATCGGTTCGCAAATGTACACGTATAGCTGCACATATCTAGCTACACCTTCTTTACGTTACGGCACAAAGCAAGGCCTTGTTACTTTTGCAAGCAGGAAGTTGTAATCAGACGAAAAAAAAGGAAGAAAGAACGAAAAAAAAAACGATACGCGATAGATACGCGTGATGTGCAAAGGGTGGTGACCTTCCCAGAGAGAGACGTGGTATGGCCCAGATCTATCTGTGCTCGTAGTACTACTGCCATCAGGTTCAATTAAACACGAACAACGGACACGACGAGTTGTAGAGCTATTTGTTTGAGAGATTTATCCCCTTGATCTGTACCTTCTCGAGGCGCCAGCCGATTCGGCGAAGGAGAGTGGTATTTCTGGTCCAGGTAGCCGGGCCATGCGGCATTTCATGGGTTTGGGGGCGGGTTTTCCGGATTTAGCGAAGGCCGACGGAGGCTGGCGAGCAAGCAGACTGGTTCGGGCAAATACCAGCAAGCATGGCGTACGCTGCACGAGGGGTAGATTGGTCCGCTCCGCACCCTGCGATCAATAAACCCACCGAGAGGGAGCAGCTCCGTGACGAGCCGCACTACTCTGTGCTTCTCCCTTGCTTCTCTCTCTCTCTCTCTCTCTTCCAACCCGTCTCTCGTTCTCTATATCTCTCTTTCTCCCTATCGCTCCTCTTTCTTCCTTCTCTCTTTCTCTCCCCGTCTCTCTCGTCGTCTCTCCCGTTCACTGTCTTCTTCCTACCTAACCCACGCTATCAACGATTCAGCACGTGCACGCTGTATCACCGGTGCTTTTGAAAAACGACCGGCAACGTGTTCCGGGGGATTATCACGAGCCGACGGACGCTAAAGGCTTCTCCTCGCGCACTTTCAGTTTTCACGCATTGATTTCCTCTCTATTCCTCTCTTCGCATATACGCCTCTTTTCTCTTTTTTTTTAACTTTATTCCTGTCTGCTTCGCTTTTTTTAAATCTTTAGTTCGATTAAAACACGTCAACAAGCTCTTGGGTGTTGTTGCTCTTAGACGCTTGAAAGTAGATGCTTCTAACTTGATAGAAAGTTACGCTTATACGCTGCTCGATGCATTTCGACGAGCCTTACTTAGCGTTAATATGCTTGTTGCTTTTTTGCTTCGGCGATAAACAAGTCGAGGCTGGTGCATTGCAGACAGGCTGTCGGTCGTATGAGAATGTAGAAACAGAGGGAACTATCAAATACGACCGATTTATATGTGCTGCTTCCGCTTGAATCAGCTTGTGTACAGCAACGGCGATCGTGGTCATGCATGGCGATATTTCCAGGCCGAAAAATATGCACCGTGATCCTCTCCCCCTATGTGTCGCAGACATTCATCCGCCGGAGGATGAACAGACCAGTCGGCCTTGAACCGTATAAAGGTCGCTCAATTCCAGTGTACATACATATATATTATGTATATTCATCTGAGGAACGCGTAGGAGGAACTCGCGTGCATCCTCTCGCCAGGCTAGGGAAGAGCGATTCAGGAAATGGTTCTCCAGCTGTGACGCTAATCGTTCCTTTTCTCGCGTGGCTGTTGCGATCTATGCGCGTGGTCTCTACCACTTGTCTTTGGTGAATCATACGGTTTCAAGTGTTCTTTCTGTGAAATCAGGCGAGAATCAGTGCGATCAAGGAAGAAAGGATCAGAATGTGGCGTGATCCTCCAGGAGGAGGGTGTATACCCAACTATCTAACGACGATGTTTCTATTGGCTATTCTGGCATTGACGAACGGTGAGTACACGTTAAAAGAATGTCACTGGGTGTATGTAAGAGTGAAGGTAGTGACCATGAACGGAGAAGGTAGTAAAATGGATTAGAATTGACGCGGAAGTAAATTGTCGCATTTCGAATGGGACAAGGTGTAACGAGTGTTGCGTATCTGCGTTTTATCAATCTTGTCCATCTGATCGTTCGTGCATCGAGCTCGTATGCCGGGGCTGAAGTTAGCATGAGGTCAGCAGCTGACGCAGTAAGTCATCTTTCGTTTAACCGTCTTCCGGATAACACACACGTTCCTCGAACGTGTTCGATCAATAGCGTAATTCAGCACGGTTTAATCTGGACAGTTTTCGCCGTTGCTATCAACGTCACTGCACCGTTTATAACATCGTAAAACCATATTAATAGCCCTGTTTATTCGTTTATTTTCCAACGCGAGAGAGTTCACGCTGTAAACCTCGCTCAAGGTTTTTGCGAAAGAAAGTATTTCACGTGGTGCGCTCTATTTCTGCCCCCGACGAGACGAAAAAGCCTCTCGTTGCGCACGTTCTCCTCTCACGGGAGATTGATTCACCGTTAATAGAATAGCGGGAACTTTCACGGTTTTTCCGTTGTTTGAGGGGAGCAATTTCGTCTCTCCCCGGGGGAGAAGGACGACGGATGGGAAATCAACGTTGTCGATGCAATCTCGCGTTGGTTCATTTGAAATCCGTCAGCCTGCAAAAGGTCCAGGACGACGTGGAAGCGTAGGTAGGTAGGTAGGTAGGTAGAAAACGAAGTACGAGCTGCTGCAGCTGCCGAAGAAAAGATGAAGAAAGGAGGAGGGACGAGGAGGAGCAGGAGGCAGGAACGAAGAGAAAGGAACAGCTGCTGTTCCCAGAATGGACGGCTGAAAGAGAATCGTATTTTGCTGTAGCAGCGCCAGGTGAATCCCTCGATTTCGCCTCGGTCATGCTCGCAGCATGAAACTTACTATCCGATCATTCGGTAGAGAATAATGAAATATACAGGACACTTTCTACAATAACGGAGGAGGAAAAGGAGAGACGAAGACGTGATCTCCATAGAAGAGGAAGAAGGCACGATATCACGATGCAAGAAACCTGGACGGGCAGGGATTAAAAATAGCCCTGGATCTAAATCGAACGACGAAACTCGTACTTGACCCAAAAGTCGAATGCACCAGGTCCCTCAGATTCGACGTGGTCCTTTCCGCTTTAACTGCTCCGCGACACACTTCTCTCATCTACTCGAGGGTGTGTTTCGTGCGGAATTTAAAAAAAATTCGTCATCGACACCGTTCAAGACTGCAGCAAAATTCGTGAAACTTTCGCTGCTGCAGGCGTTTCTTACGACTGGGACGATTACCATTATCGTTAATACACAATTTTTTAAAATAACGTGGTGATTCATCGACGTCTCGATCGTTTTTGTCAGCAATGCTGGAATGACACGTCGATAAGTAGCATCGCTCGATTACCGATCCATGAATCACACCGTGCTGAAGGTGTTGAAAGAAAAGAGCGTTACTTAGTATCCTGTGTCCTGCGCGTCATCGTCGATACGAAGTTTCTCAAAAGTCCTCCCCCACGGGAATTATTACTATGATCGTCACGATCTTTTAGTTCCAGCGGACACGCGTGGAAGCGTAGGCGCGTGAGTCACACGCGTAATGTTTGCCCCGTGTGAACACACCACTCACACAAGCTTATAATATAACGCGCGTATATATCTTTGCTGGAAATATATTCGATGCAGCGTGTCCGGACGTTTCAAAGCTTGCCTATATATAGATTACAGAGCGGTTATCGACCGGGAAGAATCCTCGTCTTTGATCGCGAGCGCGTAACGTTCCTCGAGCTTTTACGAAAAACGCTTTTGCAACGGGTCTTACCGGGTCACCGCACGATCCTATCATTAGCTGCTTTACCTTAATAATCGTTCGACACCGACGTGGAGGTTAATGAACACAACATTTTCATTCAACGTCTCTTCTATCTAGGAACCACAGCTGAACCACCACACGAGAGGCAAAGGTGTTTCTGATACGTGGTTTACACGAAATCACGCGGCGTCTTCCGTGTTCACTGGCATTGTATGCAACGATCGAAGCCATAGTAGTGTAATTAAATTGGCGTGACGCCGGTGCATATACACACACATACGCGGTGCAGACAAGTGTATACATGGAAGGCAAGGAACGAACCAAGAATAGACACGCCTGGTTGAATGACGAGGAGCAAGCGGGGAGAGAGAGACTGGTGGAGCAAGGCAGGAGTCCTCGATCCAACGAAACTTGGGAACACCTGTTCCTCGTACCTGTGCACCTCCTGTCGTTCGACCGGCATACACGCTTCGCTAACCGGTTCTTCGTGACTTGGATTTTACAGCGGCGCCGCGTTTATCCGTTCGTTGGCCGCGTCGTAACCGTGATCATAAGTCGGTAGGCGGTTACGCGCCACGAAAGTGGCACAGGGAACTCTTGTATAATCGTAAACACGCGTAAACTAGCCCGAGGAACGGCGCGTCTGAAAATAAAGCAGAGAATCACTTCCGGCAACTCGAGGGAATTCCTTCGAGCGATCTTTAAGTGACAACGATTTTTACGACCCCTCTCTCCCTCTCTCTCCCTCTCTCTCTCTCTCTCTCTCGAGAGAGAGAGCTCTTAAATCGGCGAGTCTTCTCTCGTTACGAACGAATGAAATCAGGATCATCCGTGACGGAAAAAGGAATCACGCATTGCCGTCTCCCTTATGGTCACGTGACGTTGATAGCATATTATTCAATAGCAGACCGGCAACCTGTTGTTTGCTGCAATTGGCGACGCGCCAATTGAACGTGGGTGTCGCGTATCCTGGCGGAGACGGACGATAAGCGAGGCTGAAAGACACGCAACAAAAGTTCCTTTTGCCGGTGACAGTATCTCGACTAATTGATCTCCTAGCATGGTTGCACCTTGTTTATTCAAATTTCACGCTGGGGAACTGGTTCGAATGGTAAATTTCAGACGGTGTTCTTTCTTCTTTTTTCTCTCATCAGTGGCTTGTGCTGAGGATGAATCTATGGGACCCGTGTTTGTCAAGGAACCACCAAACCGAATTGACTTCTCAAATGGAACCGGAGCTGTTGTCGAATGCCAGGCCAGAGGAAACCCCCAACCGGATATCATTTGGGTTCGTGCTGACGGAAGTGCTGTTGGGGACGTTCCTGGACTCAGACAGGTATCTCCTTTTATTTCAACGAGTTCGCGCAAATAGAACTTGTGTACTTTCACACCTTGTTTCTTGTGTACATTGAAATTTCAACGACACACAAACACAAAAGTGTCGAAGACACTCGCCCTCTTAATCTCTCCTCGTCCTTGATCTTTTATCCGCGCGATTAAAAAATTGACTCATTTCCCACTGTCGAACGCCTGAACACCTACGTGTCACGTGTTTACCGATGCAATGGATCTTACGTCAGTCGTTCGGCGACCAAGAAGGCCGAATTAATTGTCGCCTTATTAGACCGTGCATTTCGCGAATGGAAAACCACTTGCATTCTTTCTACGCAGGTCTTACCGAACGGAAACTTGGTCTTCCCTCCCTTCCGCGCCGAGGATTATCGTCAAGAGGTTCATGCTCAGGTTTACAGCTGTCTGGCGCGTTCCCCAGCAGGTTCAGTTCACAGCCGAGATGTTAACGTGAGAGCCGGTAAGTGGTTATCCTCTTCCATCTCCAAAATTATGCGGCAGCCCTCGCCTGGCCATCTGTCACTTTTCTAACGAGACACTACTCCGGTGGAAAAAATATCGAATTTTTCTCAAGCACAATACGTGGGATAAAGGCGTCTTGCCGTTGTCAGAGTGTGAGAAAAAGGATTGCTAAAACATTCGATATTTTCTTAAGAAAAAAATGTAAAAAATGTTCAGTGTTTGTTTAAGAAAAAGAAATATACGAAAAAGTTCAATATCCCCTTTGAAACTACTCTTCCAAAAGATCCCCCTGAAGAAATGAAAAGAAAATCCTCATAAAGATTTTAAAAAACAATTAAAACACGACAGCGGTACGACGTTAAAGGTGGCCAGACAGGGAGCATCTAAACAATCTTCTTTGCAGCTGTCTCGAACAGCGAACGAGCGAGTACGTGCCTTGGCGTATTTTTGGGGTCAGTACCTCGCGCCTCGCGTTATCTTTCGCGACACTAGCGGTGAGCATAGGATATTATCGCTGTTTCTTCCGACGATCGGGTATAATTAGCTCAGGGCACTTATAATGACTAATCGCTGCCGCCGCCGTTGTTCGCAAGAACTCTCGTCGTTCTCCAATCTCTTCTAACTCCAGCAAAAACAAAAAAAACCCTCCCATCAAGGATACTCTTCGGCCATTTATCATCGAAGGAAACGGTCGAAAAGTATGAAAACGTTGATCGTCCATCGAACGGTTTTTTATTTCGTGCGCGAAGGTATATCGTTGACCCAGTTCCACGACCCAATTTACAAGGGCTCCAGCTCGAAAGCACTCGGACATGAAATATTCGAAATGAGAGAGAGAAAAAAAAATACGGAGATTGGAGGGCGACGTTGCTCTGAATTTTTAATCGCGCATTTGAAAACGACGATATCGCAGTGGTGGCGCAGTACTACGACACGGACGTGAACAAGGAATACGCTATTCGTGGGAACAGTGCCATTTTGAAGTGCGTCGTTCCGTCATTTGTCGCTGATTTCGTGAAGGTTCTGTCATGGCATACCGATCAGGGGGAGGAGTTCGTACCTGGCGACGATTACGGTACACCTCGTGCAATATTCCATCGAGTTTGATTGTTAAACTTTAATTAAGGAACGTTCTCTCGTCGATCTCGTGAGCAGATCTCGTCGCTCTTAAAACTAACCATACTCCATGTTGCGTAATACCCAGCCGAGAGTATAACACGCACCCTAATTTTAATGGCCGTAGAACGAAGAACAGGGCGCGGGTCGTCCTTTGCTTACTATACCACCCTTCCCCTAATTTTCCCCTTAAAAATTTCACATATGTCCGTAGGGGATATTTTAAGCGTTAATTTTTTTTTTTTTCACTGAAAATAGCACGGTTGAAAATGTTACACGCTGTGAAACTAGATAACGCGATGAAACCTCTATCGTACGAGAATGATGAGAAGCGAAGGTCCGCGACGAGGCGTCGAACGATCGCGTGCGTGACATTTATTGATGCAACTCGGCCGCGCGTCGTCGAGGCAATTATCATGGCATCCACGGCTACTCCGCGAATCCATAGAAAATAGAGCAATGGACCTAAAGCGTGGGTCAGCGGTTGGTTCGTTCGCATAATTAACGTATCGTACACGCTTTACACGCGATGTCATCGTTGTCGTCGTCGTTGGCCGGTCTCGTTAACGTTCTTTCTATCGAGGAGGGAGAGAAGTAAGCGTATGCTGGCCCAAATAATTGGAACACATCGTCGGCATCGACGTCGACGTTTCTCTCTCTCTCTCTCTCCATCTCTCTAGTTCCCTTGTTTCGTTCTATTCCCCCTGTGCCTACTATATTCGTGACTCGTGTGTTCGCACATGCGTAGAAACACGTCCGCGTGCACACTAGTACAGAGTCAAAGTGCACCACCGATCGTTCGTCGACGTGTACCTCCTGGATGCAAGCTTTTCTAAGCTCTCGCGACTGCGGCGTAAGATGCGACCTGGCGAATCGATCTGCTCGACGAGAGGCGACGACGACCACGTCACTAGAGAAGCTGTCGTCAACGTCGTGCGTTCACACCAGCGTATATGGTATATTGCTGTTCGTTACGAAACGGTCTTTAACTTCGTTTTGCTTTATTCTCCGTGCTACGATTGACCGTGTATGCTCCCTTCTAACATACGCCGAGGTGTAGAGACAGAGGAGTGAGAGGGCTAGCAAACGGAACAACGAGATCGATAATGCCCTCGCGGTTATTCCAGATTTAGCGTTGTAAACGGCTGATAGATCGTCCATGGACAACGCGTAAACCCACAAACCGCAAAGCTGATTATCTCCGTTTCCGTCTATTGTAGTTGTGCACCAGTATTATCAGTCCGAAGTAAACAACGAGTACGTGATACGCGGAAACGCGGCCATTCTCAAGTGCAGCATACCCAGCTTCGTGGCGGAGTTCGTGCAAGTAGTTGGCTGGCAAGACGATCAAGGGAATTCTTTTAATCCGGACGAGAAGAATGGTAGGAGACGGGTGGGAGAGATTTTTAGAGATTGATAAATGGTAGCCAACAGCGAGTTGCGTTATTAGTCAACGTCGTATGAATAGGTCAGCTGATCGTTTTCGAGCGCAGAGGGGTGTCCAGATCGTTTGGTGGCACGCGAGCTTCAATACGGATCACGTAAACTTGTGTGTATAACATAGTTTCAATGGAACGTGGCTTGAAAGACATAGAAACCCTTGTCCTAACTTAGAACTTTCGGTAAAATGATAAAAAAGAATGACACTCTCTTAAAATTTATACGGAGGGTGTCGTCGAATTGACGGTAGCATGTGAAAAGAAAAAGACGTAATTTCGTTACGAGACGAAATAAATTATCGTGTTATACGAGGGCAACCCGCATTTGCCCGAATCGAAACAGGCAGACTGACCCGTTAACAGCGCTATGCTAATTGCGTAACGACTTATCGCACGCCCCTGTTTCCCCCAGTCGTGACTCAATACTACGAAGCGGAGGTCGTGTCCGAATACGTGATACGCGGAAATGCAGCCATCTTGAAATGCACCATACCCAGCTTCGTCGCGGAATTCGTGTCGGTCGACACCTGGGTGGGAAGCGACGGTTCGACCTTCAAGCCGAGCAACGACTACGGTACAGCACTATCTGCTCCTTCTTCACCGTCTCTTCCTCTTCTCCTCCGTCCTTTCTTCCTTTCTTTTTAATCACCGATCGTTCGTTGTAACGAGTCATTTCAACTTCCGGTCCCACCACTTTTTTTCTCTCCCTTTCCTCGAACACTCGCTGTTCAAACTTGGTAAAATTTCAAAGTGGCACGTGGTAACGATTCGTTTCCGGCGCGGTCCAGTCCGGCGGCAGTTGAACGGCGGCGGCAACGCGACGAGGGTTAATGAACCATCTGCTGTGGCTCTCACGCTGCGATTATATGACTCTCTTCGAAAAATAAACGAATTCGATAATAGCTAGCGCCAGCCGCTCGGGATTCGCGGGAATAACTGTTGCTCCGCCGGAGAATCTAACGTAATCAAGTGGAATTGAGGCTGAGGCTAAACTAGGTACGAGGCGGTTTAGTTAATTTTCTCAAGTATCCACGAAGATAGGTGAAAGTCTGTAGATAGAGTTGAAACTTAGTGGTGAAAAATGGGTGAAACGAGGCTCGTTGTTTGGAATCGAGTAGAATCGGTGGCGAGCTTTTGTGTAAATCTCTCGAGCTTTCGCGAAGATAGGTCAAAATCGAGGGATTCGGTTCGGTTTGAGTGGGAGCTTTGGCGGGGAGAGATAGGTTAATACGAGATCGGAGCCCGTTTGCCAGTGGCCTGTTTTCCGTGCAGTCGTCACACAACCGTATCAACCAGAAATTCTCACGGAGTACGTGATCCGAGGGAACAGCGCGATCTTGAAGTGCAGCATCCCAAGCTACATCGCGGAGTTCGTTACGGTCGAGGCTTGGATCAGAGAGGACGGAGAGGTCTATCTTCCTGAGGATACCGCTGTCGGCCAGGGTACTCTAAACGGGATTCCGACTTAATCGGGCTTAGACACGCCTCACGGTGAATTTACTTGTCCGCCAGGTGAATCTGCGGGATCTTTAACGATTTACCTACCGGTCACGTGATACTCCGCATTTCTAATTTCAGCGGTGGAAGATGAGTCACGAGTAATTCTAGATTGCATCGAATTTTTTACAGCCACACGACTTTCTCTAATTTAGAGTCAGACAATTTTCTCATTTATGGTTGGTTCGACGGTAAAAAAATGTCGAATCATTGTACGATGACGTATAATTTTCTAAATGACGTCGCAAGTATTGGCATGTACAAATGTCTCTTGGAACAAAACCTAACCTAACCTTGCCTTATAACGACGAGCCACTC